TGTTTTTACACGATGATACATTTCAGAGTAGGTTTTTACGCTATTAATACACATTTCGGGTTATTCCTAGAATGTTGAATCTTAACATTGGATTATTTTCTTAAAAACACATTTTTTAAAAATATATTTTATTGATTTTTCTTTTTTTTTTTTTTACAGAGAGGAAGGGAGAAAGAGAGAGATAGAAACATCGATGAGGAGAGAGAATCATTGATCAGCTGCCTCCTGCACGCCCCACCCCCCCGCACTGGGGATGTGCCCTCAGCCACCGAGGTCCATGCCCTTGACCCGGGAATCGAACCCGGGACCCTCCGTCCAGCAGGCCGACGCTCTACCCACTGAGCCACACCGGCTTCGGCTCAGCTTGGATTTCCGCCCCAAACCCAGCCCGGTTTGCAGGCTCCAGGGAGGCGGACCTTCTGTGCAAAGACCCCTCCCTCCCCCCCCCCTGCCCGCCGCCAGCCCCCGTCTGTCCCCTTGGCCTGTCCGGCCACCCCTGGGCTCGGCCCCGGGGCCAGCGCCCGGGCGGTGGCTGCTGGGAGTCGGAACCGGGTCCAGAGGAAAGTCTGGGGTCCCTTTTCCCCATCGGTTCGGGCCGGGGTTTGGCGAGGAAGTGCCAGGATTTGGGGCAGGAGACCTGGTTCCGATGGTCAGGGGCCCAGGAAGGGACCGCAGTTTGGACCAGGAGGCGCGGTTCCGACGCGCAAAGGGCCAGGAAGGGACCGGATCTGGACCGGGAGGCGCGGTTCCGACGCGCATGGGGCCAGGAAAGGACCGGATCTGGACCCGGAGGCGCGGTTCCGACGCGCAAGGGTCCAGGAAGGGACCGGATCTGGACCGGGAGGCGTAGTTCCGATGGACAGGGGTCCAGGAAGGGACCAGATTTGGATCAGGAGACGTGGTGGTTCCGACGTGTAACGGTCCGGAAACCAACCCCAAGTAGAACAGAAAGCGCGGTTCCGACGCGCGGGGCCGTGGCTCCGACTCCAGGGCTCTGGGAAGCGCCGGGATTTGGACCTGGAGACCTGGTTCCGACGCCCAGGGCTCCAGGAACCGCCCTCATTTGGCACCAGACGCGCCGCTCCCGTGCGTAAAGACGCACGACCTTTCCATCTCCTTTCTCGCCCGCCTCCTGCTGTGTCCGCGGGGTGTCCCTGTCCAACGGACACCAGGAGGCGTGGCTCAGGCGCGTAGGAGTCCAGGAACCAACCCGATGTGGACCAGGAGTCCTGGTTCCGACGCGCAAGGGTCCTGGAACCGCCCTCATTTGGCACCAGACGCGCCGCTCCCATGCGTAAAGACGCGAGACCTTTCCATCTCCTTTCTCGCCCGCTTCCATGCCGCCGCCGTGTCCGCCAGGTGTCCGTCTCCCAAAGGGATCCCCTCCTCCTCCTCCAACCCCCCTAACATCCCCACACACACATCCGGGGGCTCAGAACACGCTCTCCTGTCTCTCCAGAAACGGCCTCCGGGCCGCTGCCTCCAGCCCCTCCGCGGGGCCGCTGGACACGGACGGCGCGGACAGCGTGCGCCCGGAGCGCGCGCTCTCCCGGCGGCCGTGGCTGTTGCGCGCGTCCTGGACCGGCAGAGGCGACTGTGGGGAGACTGGGGACCCCCCCAAATAGCCCCGCAGGCGCATCTGGAACTCACGGGAGGCGAAATAGTACACAAACGGATCCAGACAGTTGTGCAGGCAGCTCAGGCAGAGGGTCAGCTTGTACACGTGGTAGAGGCTGCTGCCCAGGAACAGGCGCCCCACCATGTGCGCCAGGAGCACGAAGTTGTTGGGCGCGAAGCAGGTGACGAAGGAGACCAGCACCACGGCGGCCAGGCTGACGGCGCGCCGCCGCTGGCCCGCCCCGTGCGTCCCCGAGGGCGCGCGCAACAGGCGCGCGATGGTGGCCGCGTAGCAGGCCACGGTGACCAGGAACGGCAGCAGGAACAACGCCACGAAGAGCGTGAAGAGGAACACGGCCCACATGGCCACGCTGGGCAGCATCGAGGCCTGCAGGACGTCGAAGCAGGTCACGATGCCCAAGTCCCGGACCGGGTAGGTGAGGTCGGTGCGCGCCAGCGGGGAGAGCGCGGCCAGGAGCGCGCCCCAGGCCAGGGCGCACGCGGCCACGGCGTAGCGGCGCCGGCGCCAGCGCGCGGACGCCAGCGGGTACACGACGCCCAGGTAACGGTCCACGCTGATGCAGGTGATGGTGAGGATGGAGGAGTACATGTTTGCGTAAAAGACGAGCGTCACGGCGGTGCAGAGGCCGGATCCGAACACCCAGTGGTGCCCGTTGCAGTGGTAGTGGATCTGGAAGGGGAGCGCGCTCGCCAGCGCCAGGTCGGTGAGGCTGAGGTTGATCATGAAGATGAGAGACGGGGAGCGCGGTCCCAGGTGCCGGCACAGGACCCAGAGGGACAGGCCGTTCCCGGGGATGCTCACCAGCGCCACCAGGGAGTAGACCACGGGGAGCGCCACGGCGATGGCCGGGTTGCGCAGCATCTGGAGGGTCGCGTTGTCCGGGCGCGTCATGTTGATGTCCATCGTGGCTGGCTGAGGGCGCGCGCGGGGACCCCCTTGGCGAGGGCGCGCGGGCGGGGATCTTCTTGGCGAGGGCGCGCGCTCTGGTGCGGGGGCGCGATCTGAAAGGGAAAGGATACAGGAGTGACGGGTGAACGTGGAACCAGGAGGAAAGGGTTCGATTCCCCGGCCCCCGCGGGTACCCCTGGCGAGGGCGTGCGCAGGGGGCGCAAGCGAGCGGGGACCCCCTTGGCGAGGGCGCGCAACCCTGGCTGGAGAGGGCGCGCAATCCTGGCTAGGGCGCGCGTTCTGTGGGCGATCTGAAAGGGAAAGGATAGAGGAATAAGAGGCGGCTCAGTGGATAGAGGAACCAGGAGGAAAGGGTTCGATTCCCCGCCCCCCGCGGGTATCCCTGGCGAGGGCGCACAATCCTGGCTGGCTAGGGCGCACGGGTACCCCCCTGGCGAGGGCGCGCTCTGTGCGGCTCAGTGGATAGAGCGTGGACCCAGGAACCAGGAGGAAAGGGTTCGATTCCCCGCCCACCGCGGGTACTCCTGGCGAGGGCGCACAATCCTGGCTGGCTAGGGTGCACAGGTACACCCCCCTGGCGAGGGAGCACGGGTACCCCCCTAGCGAGGGTGCGCTCTGTGCGGCTCAGTGGATAGAGCGTGGACCCAGGAACCAGGAGGAAAGGGTTCGATTCCTGGGCCCCCGCGGGTACCCCTGGCGAGGGCGCGCGCAGGGGGCGCAAGCGGGCGGGGACCCCCTTGACGAGGGCGCGCAATCCTGGCTGGAGAGGGCGCGCGCTCTGTGGGGCGATCTGAAAGGGAAAGGGTACAGGAGTGAGGGGTTCAGTGTGGTTCATCATGGATGTTTCTCTCTCTCTCTCTCTCTCTCTCTCTCTCTCTCTCTCTCTCTCTTTCCTTTTCTCTCTGAAATCAATAAAAAATATCCTTTTTTTTTTTTTTTTAAGAAGTAAGCCAAAACCGGTGTGGCTCAGTGGATAGAGCGTCGGCTTGGGGACGGAAGGGTCCCGGGTTCGATTCCCAGTCAAGGGCATGGGCCTTGGGGGCGGGCACATCCCCAGTGGGGGGGCGCGCAGGAGGCAGCTGATCGATGACTCTCTCTCATCGATGTTTCTAACTCTCTCTCTCTCTCCCTTCCTCTCTGTAAGAAAATCAATAAAATATATATATTTTTTAAAAAATAAAAAAATAAATTAAAAAATCTTTATGAAAAGGAGTGGGGTGCTCCCCGGAGTAGCTGCCCGCCCCCCACGCCCCCCATAACACCATCCAGCACAGACCGGGGACCCCAAACCCGCCCTGGGCTGGGGTTCGAGGGACGAGTCCTCCAGCTGCCAATCAGATCCATCCAGAGGGAGGCTGGTCGGAGGGGGGATTGGGGTGAGGGGAGTGGGGGGAAGGGGGTTCATCCTGGAGCCAAATGGGCCCCCCATGTCCGTCACCCCATCTGCTATACCCTCCCCCCCCCCCCCCGAGGCGAGTCTCGTCCCGGGGGCCAAACCCCGTGCAACAAGGATGTTTCTCAAACTGCCTGCCCCGGGGCACCCCTCCCAATTGGCGAGTTTCGATCTGAGTGTTGCGCGCGCGTCCGCCCACGCGTCTGCCCGCCCAGGTGCGGCTGCGAGGATCCTGCGGAGAGGGGGGCGGCACCAGGGGCCTTGCTTCCCTCCTTTCTGTCTTTTTTTCCTTCTCTCTATTTTTCTTTCTTTCTTTCTTTCTTTCGTTCTTTCTTTCTTTCTTTCTTTCTTTCTTTCTCTCTTTCTTTCTTTCTTTCTTTCTTTCTTTCTTTCTTTCTTTCTTTCTTTCTTTCTTTTGTCTTTTTCCCTCCTTCCTTCTTTCCTTCCTTCCTTCCTTCCTTCCACCTTCCTTCCTTCCTTCCTTCCTTCCTTCCTTCCTTCCTTCCTTCCTTCCTTCCTTCCTTCTTTCTTTCTTTCTTTCTTTCTCTTTCTTTCTTTCTTTCTCTCTGGCTCTATTTTCTTTATTCTCTCTCTCTCTCTCTCTCTCTCTCTCTCTCTCTCTCTCTCTCTCTCTCTCTCTCTCTTTCTCTCTCTCTCTGTCTGTCTCTCTTTCTTTCTCTCTCTCTCCTTTCTTTCTTTCTTTCTTTCTTTCTTTCTTTCTTTCTTTCTTTCTTTCTTTCTTTCTTTCTCTCTTTCTTTCTTTCTCCTTTCTGTCTTTCTGTCTTTCTTTTTCTCTTTCTCTCTCTCTCTCTTTTCTTTCTCTCTGGCTCTATTTTCTTTCTTTCTTTATTCTCTCTCTCTCTTTCTCTCTCTCTCTCTGTCTCTCTTTCTTTCTCTCTCTCTCCTTTCTCTTTCTTTCTTTCTTTCTTTCTTTCTCTTTCTTTCTGTCTTTCTGTCTTTCTTTTTCTCTTTCTCTCTCTCTCTTTTCTTTCTCTCTGGCTCTATTTTCTTTCTTTCTTTATTCTCTCTCTCTCTCTCTCTCTCTCTCTCTCTCTCTCTCTCTCTCTCTGTCTCTGTCTCTCTTTCTTTCTCTCTCTTTCTCTCTCTCCTTTCTTTCTCTCTTTCTATCTTTCTTTTTTTAAAAAAATATATTTTATTGATCTGGGGGAGATAATAGATCAACCAAAAAACTTGTATACACGCCTATAAGTACAACCAATGGGACATAAAACTCTGGGGAGGGAGGGGATGGATGGGAGGGGAGGGGGCCATGATAAAGTATGTACACAGAGAATAATTTAATTTAAAAATGTAAAAAATATATATATTTTTATTGATTTTTTTTTTACAGAGAGGAAGGGAGAGGGAGAGAGAGAGAGAATCACTGACCAGCTGCCTCCTGTGCGCCCCCCACTGGGGATGTGCCCTCAGCCACCCAGGCCCATGCCCTTGACCGGGAATCGAACCCGGGACCCTTCCGTCCGCAGGCCGACGCTCTACCCACTGAGCCACACCGGTTTGGGAAATAAAATATATTTTTAAAAATGGCAGAGTTCGCCGAAACCGGTGCGGCTCCGTGGACAGAGCCTCGGCCTGCGGACGGGAGGGTCCCGGGTTCGATTCCCGGTCAAGGGCATGGACCTCGGTGGCTGAGGGCACATCCCCAGTGGGGGGCGTGCGGGAGGCAGCTGATCGATGATTCTCTCTCATCATCAATGTTTCTAGCTCTCTCTCTCCCTCTCACTTCCTCTCTGTAAAAAAAAATCAATAAAATATATATATATTTTTTTTTTTAAAAAATCCCCCAAACGGCGGATTTGGTGGCCACACCCACAGACGGCGGAGCCGCACGGAAACGACAGGTGCAGGCAAGTCGCGTGCGTGGCTCCTGGCAGATCTGAGAGTGCATTCGGCCCACGTCCCCTCTCCTCTCTCTCTCTCTCTCTCTCTCTCTCTCTCTCTCTCTCTCTCAACGGCTCTCGGGAGGGTTCATTTGCATCCCGTGCGGCTCCCCGGTTCAAAGGCTGCCGCTCAGATGGTTTTGATTCTTTAAAAAAATAGATATTTTTTATGTGAGGGGTTTTTTTTGTGTGTGTTTTTTGTTTTTTTGCAGAGAGGAAGGGAGAGGGAGAGACAGATAGAAACACTGATGATGAAAGAGAATCATGGACCAGCCGCCTCCCGCGCGCCCCCCACTGGGGATGTGCCCTCAGCCACCCAGGCCCATGCCCTGGACCGGGAATCGAACCCGGGACCCTTCCGTCCGCAGGCCGAGGCTCTATCCACTGAGCAAGTTTCTGTATATATTTTTTAATCCTGACTCCAGGATATTTTTTCATTGCTTTATAGAGAGACAGAAGGAAAGAGAGAGAGAGAAAGAGAGAGAGAGAGAGAGAGAGAGAGAGAGAGAGAGAGAGAGAGAGAGAGAGACATCAATGTGGACAGAAAGAAACATCTATCCATGCCCTTGACCCGGGAACCCAACCTTTACTTCCTGCTTCCTAAGCCAACGCTCTAACCACTGAGCAACACGGGTCTGACACCATCCCACTCCCTTAAAGGGCACCTGCCCGGCTCTCAGCATTTCCATCAGCATTTTCCATCTTTGTAGGCCTGAGGCACCCACCCATCCACCCATCCATCCACCCACCCATCCATCCACCCATCCATCCATTCATCCACCCATCCATCCACCCACCCATCCATCCATCCATCCATCCATCCACCCACCCATCCATCCACCCATCCACCCATCCACCCACCCACCCACCCACCCATCCACCCATCCACCCATCCACCCATCCACCCACCCATCCATCCATCCATCCACCCATCAACCCATCCATCCATCCATCCACCCATCCATCCATCCACCCATCCACCCATCCATCCACCCATCCACCCATCCATCCACCCATCCACCCACCCATCCATCCATCCACCCACCCATCCACCCATCCACCCACCCATCCATCCACCCATCCACCCATCCATCCACCCACCCATCCACCCATCCATCCACCCATCCACCCACCCATCCACCCACCCACCCATCCATCCACCCACCCATCCATCCATCCACCCACCCACCCATCCACCCATCCACCCATCCATCCACCCATCCATCCACCCATCCACCCATCCATCCCACTGACGGGAATCGAACCTGGGATCCTTCTGTCCGCAGGCCGACGCTCTATCCACTGAGCCACCCCGGCTCCAACTGCTGAGCCACCCCGGCCCTAACCACTGAGCCACCCCACTGGCTCTAACCACTGAGCCACCCCGGCTCCGACCACTGAGCCTCACCGGCGCTGACCGTGGAGCCACGCCTGCGCTAACCATCCTACCACACCGGCCCCTGACCCCTGGGTCGCATCAGCTCTAACCGCTGAGCGCACCCCGACTCTAACCATTGGGCCACCCTGGCTCTAACCACTGAGCCACCCCGGCTCTGACCGCTGGGCCCAATCCGGCTCTAACCACTGAGCCACCCCGGCTCTAACCACTGACCCATCCCGGCTCCGACCACTGAGCCACCCCGGCTCTGACCGCTGGG